TATTTGAATTTTGATCAGTTTATCGGAATTTATATTTTCTTTTTTTTTCATCACTTTTTATACCATTTTTGGAGCCATACAAACAAAGAAAAAGGTTCTTATTTGTCTATAATAACTATTTTCTTGTCCTATTACAAACATGCTAAATGTCCTTGTTGGTGATGGTGTATACAAACATAAATTGTATCAAAAATTTTTTTTGTGTTTATATACTAAAAAAATGATTCATCTAACAACCCTTTTGTACTTCAAAGTTAAAAACGTTACAACGTTACAATGCCAAAATCACCCACTTTTTAAGGCTATCGTAAGAGTTGTACCTGTAGTTTAGTTGTAATCAATGGGAAAAAGGCAATTTTTTCTGTAAAAGCAAAAAAATTTAATATCACTTTTTGATAATAATAATACTGATCTAGGTCTATTTTAGACAGAATCTATTGGAATAGTAAAAAGTATTAAAAACAGTTGATTGGAAGATGATTGTGGTGGTGGTGGTGGTGGAACGTTTTTCAAGTCAAGTGCATCGAGAAAATCGAATAGCAATCAAATCGACCGGTTTGACAGGTGCTATGATAGAATTACATACAAGACCCATAAGTAAATCTGTGAAACCATGGAAATGTGGCCGAGGTCAACAACTATAGCGTTTATTCAAGACAAAAAGCCAAATGGTCCTGGGAAATTCAAACTTTCATTCTCTCTCTCTCTCTCTCTCTCTCTCTCTCTCTCTCTCTCTTTATTTCTTGTTCTCTTTTTTCCCATTACAGCTGCTGTTATTTTTCCAAATTACTATGCAAGAGAATGACGATCAACTTGTCTAAACATGACTGTCCAAATTTTGTTTCTTGTCTAAAACTAAAAAACACACCAGAAACTTAAACCAGTTCAAGAAGGAAAAAAAATGAACACTGAACCCCTCAAGCTAGGAAAAAATGACAAAAAATATGGAGAAAAAATGGAGTAATTGAAAACGGGATTAGTAATGGAAAAAGACAAACTAAATGATAAAGACTAAAACACAGGCATTCATGAGGAAAAGAATCCCAAAAAAAGAAAATGGAATCCTAGTCAAGTAAAAATTCTCGAGTTATGGTTCAAACACAAGGAAAAATCGTTTTGGGAGTTGAAATTTTTTTTGTCTCTGTTCCGCGTTATATGTAGCGTTTCATTTTTGTGGAGAAAGTAACAAATACAGACACATAGTTTTCCAAAACAATGTGTGTGTATTTAGAGAAACAGAGAGCAAGAGATGAATATTTTTTTCGTAGAAAAAAAGATAATGATAATGGCAAACTAGCAGCCACCAAAAGATACCAACCAACTAACGACAAACAGCAAATATCAAACTATCTCTCTTTAGAGCCATACCCATTAAACCAGCATAGGCAAAAATGGCGCCCACCCAAAAAAAAGATGATGATTATGATGATGAAAAACCCTGGAACTAGCAAAATGCTGTCTGACTGGTATTCTTATTTTTGGTTTAATGTATGTTTGCATGATTATTGCTATGGATAGCTGACTGGTTGTTTAGCTGTGTTGGTAAAGTATATGGTCTCTTTTCTTCTTTCTGGTTCGATGGCGTGGATTGGTTGGTTGGTTGGTTGGCTGATTCTCTTTCTTCTCCAGCCCGATCATATTGGGAGCCAAGCCGACGCAAACACAAATATATACAATGAGAAAACATGACGACCAACCGAACGAATGATCGACCGACGCCAGGCCAACAAAAACAAGCAAAAGCAAATAGGCATATAACTCCGCGATTCAAAACGAGCCAAATAGCAGACAAATGATCACAAAGATGACGATAATATAATGGTATATACAACATCGTATACAAGGGGAGAGGCACAATATCTTTGACGCCAAGATCCTATAGTATAGGATCTATACCAATAAAAAACACACACACACACAAGCATACGACAAGCAACGAACCAAAAAAAAAAAAAAATTCAGCTCAGCAATGAAATCGCTATAATGCCAGACTATAGTTAGTTAACTTTGGCCAAAAAACATGATGATGATGATGAAGGAGCCATAACCAAAATCAAATATACAATGAAAAACGAATTTCTGTATGTGCAATTTAAACAAGAAAAAACCCAAAGATGTGAACAGTGGATATGAATGAATGAATGAATGAATGGATACCGAGCGGCTTAATGCCAAAGATGTACCATCTTATTATTCTTCTGTGTTTGTATGTGTGCGTATATTATATGTTTATGTGTTATATACAGAAGGATCGAGTTAAAATTTTCATACAATTTATTCTCACATACACAAATATAAAACATTGAGATATAGATAGCATGAAGATGGAGAAAAAATGGCTCTTTATTCTTGATGCGCCTAGTCACACACACACACACACATAGTTTTTTTATAAAATTCAAGAATTGACATCATGCGCTTTGGACATTAATGGAATCAAACAATATAATTCCAACACATACACATACAAACAAACAAAATGAATGTATGAACTGAGGACGTCGAAACTAAAATTGTGCTGCTTGTCTCTCTCTCTCTCTCTCACTCTTGTTATTCGCAACTAGTTTTCGTTTTATATTACATTTTTAGCTCCAACTATCGATTCTGGTCTTTGTTATAAATGAATGAATGTGTACAAATATGAATCGTATATGATGCTACTTGAATGAATGATGGAATGGAGCCAATCGAACCAAGTGAGTTCCAAACACACACAGATCACAAGACAAATCAGCAGGAGGACGAGAAAAAATAAAATGAATTTGCCGGCTTCTTTTCCATCGAAAAAATATACACACATACAAAAAAAATGGGCGAAAAGAATCGAAAAAGGAAAACACCAACGAATGCGCCGTTAGGATATTATGAAAACCAGCCTCCAACCGATCATGATAAAGCACCATCATAAAGAAACGACTGGAATTTATGTTTTTGTGTGTGTATTTCTATGTATGGTTCCGTCTTTGAAAATGCCAAAAATCCAGGAAATTCTCTCAAAAAAAAATATTCTTCGAGAACTACAGAAAAGAAGTAGGTAGTAGTAACAACAGCAATAATATTTGCTTTGTTGTTTTGGTTTGAATTTTATAGAACGCACATGCAAGCACGTGATTAGAGGCCTAATTTTGGTATTGTATTTTTGGTATAATATAATCAATAAAGAAAAGCCCGGCTATTACTAATATATTATCAACTCTTTTTTGTCTCAAGTTGAACATTTTTCTTTATATTGTTACGGATTTTCTTCTGCATCGAACCGAAAAATTCATATTTATCATATGCTTGAGAAGATTCTATTCATACAATGTCCATCTACTATAATATCATGATGATGACCAGATTCAATCAATTGTGAATGAAAATGGAAATTCAATCCGATTCCATAATATCTGTCTGTCTAAATCTTATTTATCTAACAAATACAAAAAACTAGAGATTTTGTTTTGTTTCTTTCATTCTCAATGTTAGATGAATGAAAGAGGCATAGACATAGACAACAACATCATCATCATCATCATAATAATAATCATCATCATCAGAAACAACAACGGGATCCCTAAATCAGGACAAACTTGACTCCATGATACGAATTGGCATATACGACGCGAATACAAATATCGAGAAAATATAAAACAGAAATAAATAGTGAGCCATGTAGCCATATATACTTATTATTTGAAAAAAAAATTGTACTCGAATGTGCTGAGTTGGAACAACTATACAAAAAAAAACGTTATTATTATCGAAAGACGCCGTAACATACACACACATTGTAAGCATAAAAACCAAGCCATCCGAAGCGATCCAAACGAATAATTTTTTTTATACATATGCGCATGTCATAAAAGGCCGTCATAAAATATCACAAAAAAACACGGAGGGAGAATAGGCACACACACACACATACAGGAATACAAAGGACGGCCTGACAAAATTAACGCATGCTCTCCATGGAGTCGAAAAAAAAAGAAGGAAAGCAGATATGAAATGAATGAATGAATCCAGTTGTGTGTGTATCGGATACATGAGCTAGCACACACACAGACACACACATAGTTTGGTTCATTTTTCATCATCGATAACACAGCAGCAGCAGCAGCAGCAGGAGGGAGTTTGATTGCTTTTTACAGCCAGTCATTTTTTTTTTCTCTGTTTTGTTCGCTTTTGATGATGGTTTGGCTGAGACTGGATATTAAATTCGTTTGCTTTCTTGAATTTTTTTTTTTTTTTTTTTGGATGTGATATTTTTCTCTTTTTTTCTCATTATGTGTTTTTTTTGTGTGTGTGTGTGTATGAGCAAAATAGACACGTGAGAGGTGGAGTAGTTTCCATACAAATGTGTGTATAAAAAACAGCCTATTCAATATGAGAGGATATTAGAGGATACATAGGTGGAGTTTGAACACCACCTCCACATCAGCATATCATTCATTGTCTATTCACAAGTTGTTGTTTTTGAATGTATGAATGCGCTGGAACAAGCAATACTATGGCAAACACACATACAAACAAATGTACACAGATGTGAATGGATAAATCGTCGTCATCATCATCATCATCATTATTATTGCTGTTGTTGATATCGATGTTGATGATGATGATCACAATAACAAAGGCAACTCAAAAAGAGAAAAAAAAAGAATAAAACGAGACGAGAAAAGTGGTGGTGGTGATGATGATGATGAGGAGGATATCGGTGGTGGAAGAGTATAATACATTGCTCAGTTGTATGTGGATTATATGCATATAATGATGATGATGATAATATACAAATAACAACGATGTTGATGAAAAAGACAACAACAACAACAACGACGACGAGGATGATGATGATGATGAATGCAAGTAACCAGAGATTGTCGAAAGAAGATATTCGATTCAATTATATTCATATATACCATTGGATATATTCAAATAAAACCAAACATCTCTCTCATACAGTAACTTGGAAGAAGTAACTAACATGAAAAGAATTGTAATGTAACAATTTCAATACATACCGTTTGAAATAATCGATAAGTCGTTCTTCTCGTATATTCTCCGGTAAGTTTCCTACCCAGAGATGCCTTGTCTCCCTTACCATCGTTGTGGTATTGGTGATTTGTATTTATTTCGGGCGCCAGTGGTCGTCGTTTTTGTTTTTTCAAGCTTTCCTGATAATTTTGATAATGATTCTGATTCGTCGTTTGGTCTTGGATTAATTGAATGGTTTGCATTGATAATAACAAACGTTTGGAGCTTGTTATTTCGAACATAAGAGATGATTTCTGCCTGTGAACGCTTAGGACCTGATGAGGATGTCTCAACATCTATTAGATTGATGGCAATGATGGAGAACATTTCTCTCGTGCAACCAAATGACGAGATTCATCGAGTAAATTTGGTTATATGTGTGTGTGTGTATGTTATATTTGCTGGAACCTTTTTTATGAAGTTTTCTTAGTTATAAAGAATACCAGACAGATGTGTAGCACAAAAAGGATTATGTGGGGATTATATCATTCGTCAACCAGAAAAACAAAAAACGGAAGGGAATAAGGAACAACTTTTGATGGAAAAAAACATCAATTTCATCGCGAATCAACAAATATGAGTGGTGACAACGATGATGATGTCGAAACAAATGAAAATGATGATGATGATGATGATGAAGGCTCAACAAACAAATGGCCTTTTATAATATAATCATTCAATGGATGATTGATACAAATTTTTGATTGGGTGTTGTTGTTGGTTGAGTAAAATGGTCGATTATTTTGATAGAATGGATGATGGTGTTGATTATATTGGTGATGAGGATGATGTCGTGGTATTCCTGGTAATTCTGTTGTTGCAATAGTGGTTTTATTCAACGTTGAATGTTGTATATGACTGAAATGGTGATGATGATCGATGTTTGCGACAAGATCCATCGTCAATTAATTATAGATTTGGATGGAAATAAAAGCTGAAACATAACGATGTATGAATTAGGCTTTTGTATGCACAATAAGCCGATTCTTTGGGACCACATTTCAAACACCACAAAATGAAACTGATATAACAAAGACAATGTTGATGATGAATAGAGCAACCAACACGGCTCTTTAACACATAGACACACACACACAAAACGATAGAATAGATGAAATTGATAGAAAGAATGATGATGGCAAAGGAGATCAAAGGATATGGACATCGATCAACATGGACACTTTAACCAGCTTTTATTTTGCACACAAATACACCTTTTTTTGATGATTTACAACTTATAATGAACTAAATATAACAAACAAAAAACATATAATACACACTCACAGAACTTTATCGATGAAAAAAACAGAAATTTAGATTGATTTGGACTCGAAAAGATTGAAACAAACAATCGAGTGAATTGAATATTATATATTTGGGCAACACAATAAAAGGCCTGAACATACACACACAAACACATACAATAACATTACATACAGAAACAAAATGAAATTGTTGAATATCAAAAGAAAAAAATAATTTCAACGTTCGATTTTCAAACAGAAACAAACACAATCGGATGTATGGATTTTACACATGTGGCAATTTCATTTTAAACCAAATATATATTAACGGTAATGAATAGAAACCGTATGGATGATATTCCAATGAATTACCGAATTTACGAACAAAAACCCACCGGAAAGAGCAAACGATTCACAATTAAACGAGATCAAACGAAATAAAAATAAAAATGAATAGAAAAAAGGATATACGATTACGAGGAAAATTTTAAGCGGCAAGAAAAACCACTACCATTAAACAGAATGTCGACTTCACGGAGACTGAGGATATTGAAAAGATTTTGCTTTACGACAAACAACAAGCGCCAATAGTGGAAGGAAGAGCTAGTAGCAACATTTTTTTATTCCAAAATGGAAGTGGTTCATTGAACATTGATGAACTTTTGCAACAACATATGTTCATGCTGTTAGCAATCAAAAATTTGGCTCCGCCCATAGATTGTCGTACTAGCATAACATGTGTTCAAGTACATAAATTTGTTGTTTCCATTCACATTATCCTGATTTGGCTTAAAGGTAGAAGCATAATGGTGAACTGAATCAGTTTTTTTCCAATTTTTGAATAATACTGCTGCTAGCATTTGAATCTATATGCTAGCAGAATGGATGAAACTTATTTCCAAAATGGATAGAGAATGTTTAATCATTGGGATGTAATACAACGTCAATTTTAGTTCATCATGAATTCGAATGTTGAACGAATATAATAATAAAAAGTATAATGTTGCGTCGCAAATTCTTCAAATTCAAAATTATTCATTTATCCTTTCCATTCATCTTTGTTTGAATGGAATGAAAAAAAAATTCAAATTTATTCTGAACATAATGTCCATATAATATTCATTTCCATTTTAGATTCTCAATATTATGTCATTTATTTTGTTATTATTTCAAAATTGTTCCTAAAAATTTGTATAGCTCCACATCATAACCGATTTAGTTGATATTGATACAGGTTAGTCATCCTGTGAAAGAGTATAACACCTCCAATAAATATTCGAATGTTTCCACCTTTTAAATGATGACGTCCCAACCAAAAAAAAAATGAGTCATATATCCGATCATGTCATCATTGTATCTGGTATATGAATGAAAAAAAATTCGAATGATGTAATTTTTCGTTTTTTTTCTCTGGTTAATAATGTCGCCATTATATTGTTTCGATAAATTTGGCCTTTGTTCCGTGTGTGTGTGTGTGTTTGTTGTGGTTGCCTCTGGTCTTTTTTTATCATCATCATCATCCTCTTATACACAATCCCAAATCAAGTTATTAAGCACACACACACACACACATCTTTTCATCCATCTAATCCACGATGCAATACAATCCTGTACATCAGTCATCATCATCATCATCATTTCTATAAACGCCAAATATTTTGTTTGTTCATTGCTTCGAAATTTGAAGATTTTAGTTGTAATAGCTCCATTATACATCAACGGCAATCATGGTGGTTGTTGTGATAATGATGACGACGACGAGTTTTATGGATGATGGTGTCATCAGAAATGGCAAAAGAAGAAGAAAGAAAAAAAAATAAATAAATCACATGACAATTTTTTTTTCATACTAAACCCCAACCAAAAAAAAAAAAAAAAAAACCACGGCAACGAATGATGATGTACACACACACACACATAAACAGTTTTATCCAACACACATCCATTTCGAATTTTTCAAATTCAATTCAAAAGTCGGTTTCAATATGGATATGTTTTTCTTTACGATTGCAATTCAAATAAAACAAACAGACAGACAAAAACAAAACAATTTATTATTATCGAATATTCGATTCAATTCAACATAATAATGACAAACACAAATAATAAACACAACATGTGGCGACGACATTGAGATATGTGGATTTTCTTTTTTTTTTTTTTTGCTTTTATAATTTCTACAAAAAAAAATTCCGTATTTTCTAATTTACATTGCAAAACCAAATTTCCTGTTGATGTTTTTGATGATATTTTTGTCAATTATAATAATTATTATTATTTCCCAAGTGTTTCCGATTTTTTTTTCTTGTTCGTTGAAAATGTTTCCTAGCCTGTGTTTTTTCTGTTGTTCGTTCTATGGATTCAAATAATTTCAATTTCATTTATTCATCATCATCGAATAAATATTGTTATTGTCGGTTAAATCAAGTAGAAATTTTCATTTTATAATATCATCATCAAATATATTCCAATATATATTATTGAATCACAATGTGTTTTTGTGTGCATGTACAATGAATAAAATGGAAAAGGACAATAAGAATATAATATATATGCTGATGGTGGTTTCCCAATTCCAATTTCACTTTCATTTCATTTCTTTTCTGTTTGAGCGTTTGTGTATGTGTGTGTTTGGTACCTCCTTTCTGGTAATTTGGTATTGCTGATCAATGAATTGCGCATTGAATTCATTCATTCATTCATTCATTTTTTTTCAATAAATATAATTGATCGATGACAAACTATATATATATAATTTTCACGAAATGAAAAAAAATTGAATCACCAAGTATTTCATAAAAATATGTGAATGCGCAACACACACACATACACACACTATATTCTGCTATTATATATGAATGAACGACAAAAATCTTTTTTCTGATGTTTTTTTTTATATCATTACATTCAAAATGTTACACAACGATATTCAAGCAACACACAGCCACATCATATTAAGAAATATTTGCAAAACTGAAAAATAGATGGCGACACATAACCACTAAAATTATTACAAAATATCAAAGTTCGATATTTTTTTTGTTTTTTGTCTGGTTTGTGTGTGTGCTGAATTGAGTCACCACCATCAAGAGCATATATGCACAAAATGAATGAATAAAGTATATTCTTGAAGAATAACTAGAATTTTTTTTTGTGATTTTTCAAAATCAAACGCACATACACACACACAGACACAAAGAGAAAGCAAAATAATCCACGTATACACATTACATACAACTGGATTTGTCGTTTGAATGAATCCATCAACAAAAAAACTGAAATGGTATTTTCATTTTTTGATGAAAACTGTCGTTATTTTTGAAGTTATAAAATGATATCGATAATGATCACTATCGAGAATTGACGAAAAATTTGCTTCAATGATGGAAAGAAAAAAAAGTGGACAATTTTTGGCTTTCAACGATTCCAAATTAGAGAAGAATCAGATCTGTGGACTGGTAATTGGATTAATGAATCGAAATTATAGATAGATTTGGGTAAATAACAAGCGGATAGATATATATGCATTTCAACATTAATCTGGCTACCATTCATCAACCATTGAATGCTGAATAACGAATGAATATAATGATGATTATGATGGCGTCGTTTATGTTGGTATATTGGGTTCGTTTTTTCACTTTGTTGACTAATTTCCAACAACAACGACGACGACAAATGATACTATGAACATGAAGGTTCAAAATATCTTTTAACGAGAAAAAAAAACTTACAAATTGGGAACATACACGATGGCAGAGGCAACTCTATCCGCTTACACACACACACACACAAATATCAATCCATCCCTCCCTCCTTCCTTTCAACAAAAAACTTGAAAAGAAATCAAAACTACAGATACATTATTGAAGCCAACGTTATTATCATCCAAATGTGAAAAACAAAATGCAACCAAGCGTTATATGGACAACAACCAAGTCGTCAATCCAGTATTTCCAGATATCATCAATGCACAAACACTATTAAAAAAAATACGACGCATTTCAAATTGAATACGGTAAATTTACGGATATATCATCATGTAAAAACCTATATATAAATTGTTTATAATCTTCAATCTTAAAGTCGAAGTTTGAATGTAAAAACATCCTATGACTCATATATAATCATAAATATCATATATAATATATAGTTGCTACGGGAATGAGTGGAAAAACTTGTTTTCGAATGAAACCCTGGCCCATATGCCCTGGTTCTCTGAGCTACAATGAAATTCTAACTAAAAACAACCATAAAATTCAATGTAAGAGCTTGCCATTATTGTTGTTGTTGTTGTTTATGATGATGACGACGTCGAATCATCCGATTTGGACGAGTCCATTTTTTATTGAAAATGTTTTTCTCTCTTTTCTGTTCTCTAAACACACATTAAAAACAGGATTATGGTGGAAAAATAAATGACATTTACTTTGAATGTATACATTTTCTCTTTTATTTTTGGTAACCATAGTAATACAACACACACACAGTATGGCAGTAGCAGTAATAATGGTATATATTGACGATATGGGGTGTGGACTATCAGATGTTTCGAAAAAAATATATTATTGGGCGATCAAGAAAAATTTGACGAAATCATTGATCAACGATAAAAAAAACTAATAATGGATAAACATTTGCCATCTATTAGCCAGAATCGGAAATAAGAGACATTTTTCTTATGGATCTGATCATTGCCATCATCATATAATATATTGGAATGATGATGATAAAAGGCAAGTGAAATTTTTTTAAGAGACAATCAGGTGATTCTGTTTTTTTTATGTTTTAACGAGAATTTATACTCCAACAGAGTTTCCACACCAGAGAGACAAAAAAAAATTAACCTGTTGATATTACAACTGATTGAGGTAATCATCTCTTCCATTATTTTAAAAAAATTTTTTTGTTCGTGCAAAATAAGATCGTATCCATAACATTCGACACAAAAATGCTACTTTCATCCGAAGATGATGAGGTTAGAACGTGGGCCGACGATTTAATTGATGATGAATTCACCGCTGTCAGTTCACATCAAACGATTCGTTTGGATACAAATGATTCTAAATCATTGCAAAAACATTTCTCTCTTTATCAAAATAATCATTATATTTATGGTGTTCTTACCGGATTCAATTATGGCGATTCTAATGATGAACATTGCCGTAAAATATTTTCCGAAGTTTGTTCATATTTTCCACTCGAATTAATTGAACGTATTAATTCTTTAAAAAATCCTGACCAAGATGAATGTTATGAAACTATATTGTTGGAAACATTTTATATAATTGAACAATCCATACGAAAACACATGGACGATGTATTGAGTGAAAAAACGGCGCTAGAACTAACATTAAGCGGTATAGATTCATCTCAATATCCAAAAATTCAACAAAAACTAAATGAATATACACAAAAATTATCGTTTGGCTTTTCATGTGTGATAACCATTATAAATACAACAAAGATCTATGTGGCCAATATTGGTGATACGCGAGCAATTCTTTGTGTTAAACATAATAATACGATTCGATCACAAGAATTATCAACTCGTCATGATTTAAGCAATCCAAATGAATTGAAACGTTTGGAAAGTATTTCAATTGAAACTGAAGTATTGAAATCAAATCAAAGGATCGGTAATATGGCTCTAACTCGTTGTCTTGGAAATTTAAAACTTAAAAATTTCTTTAAAAACTATCCTGATTTATCGTCAGCAACAAGTGATCCCATTCTTACGGAACCAAGCCTCAATTCTACACGTATTAATAATTCTTGCAAGTTTTTGATTTTAGCTTCGGCCAGTTTATTTAAGGCACTTCAACAATGTTTCAATAGAGAAAATGTTCTCGATGATCTTTTGTTAATAATAGATGATAAACTTACCGAACGAAATGATCACAAAAATGTTCCTGATCTAGTTTTGCAGGATATTTTTCAAAAATATCTAAATCTTAATGAACATCAAGAATCTTTTCATTCGAAACCCATCCTATTGATACGATTATTCCATCATCCAAATGAAACAGATTCTACAGCTGATCATGATGCTGCTGATGAAGAGGCCAATCATGACTTAAAAGTAGACAAAACGGTAATCACACCGATAATCATCATGAATGATGATATTAATCTTGATCCATCTAAATCTAATGATTCAGTTGGAAGTTCCAAACAAGAATCCGATGAGATTCCAGCCTATGTTGATTTTGTTCCATTAATTGAAGCATTACAAAAACACAACATTGATTATGATTGTTTTAATTTATTTGATTTTATAATTATGATTAAATAGTTGAAGGATTTTAATAAAATAATTTATTTACAATTGATATTTTGAAAAATTTATTAAAGAAATAAGAATTAATCTTCACTATTTGGTAAAGCATCTTCCATTTTTTTCAAAAATTTCACTCGTAATTCAGTGACTGGATCACCGCGTAGAGAATCTTGTAGAAAATACACCTGTGCTTCAATTTGAATCATTTCCAATGCACCACGTATAACACCGCAAAGCATATTACAGTATCTTAGATTGCCCAGATGATCAGGAAGTTCAACATATTCGGTCAACGGATTATTATCGATGATGATCGAAAATTCATCATTCGCTGTCGACCAATTTGTTATGGTGGGAGCGAATCCCAAATAGATACGGAATGCAGTTTGAATTTTATCCGCTACGTCTTTGAAATCATGACATTTGGCCATTTGAGTTTTGGCAAGGAAATCCTCAATTAAACGTAAGCCAATGTTGTAGCCCATTTTATCCAATTGTTTGTTAATTTCCTCAGCATTTTCACATTCTTTGACTAATTGAGCAATGGTAGCACCGTATGTTAGCACAAACAAATCTGAATTTACTTTTTTCGTTTCAATAGTATTTTTGTTAATTTGCCGAGACATTTTTTCAAATTTAAATTTCAATTTTGAAACAATTTTATTTTTCCAAATCGGTCGGTGTTTTTCTCACAATCACATTTAGTCATTTATTCACTGTTTTCGTAAACTTACTTTTGGTCATGAATTCTGATTTTTCGGGAATATTGCTTGTTTCAAAACGAATTTATTTCTCTAATGATGATGTCCAGAAAAAAATGGATATTCAAAATTTCGATAATCATACCAGTATTTCGATAATTTTTTTCACCATAGTTGATTTTATCGTTTTATTTGCATTGTTTTTACCGGAATGGATCGTATCGCATGTTGGTGGCGATGTCCAAATCGGTCTATGGAAGATTTGCATTTTGAATCAAAAGAGAATACCCAAATGTTTTTCATTTTCACAACCATTACCTTGGAAATTGGCTATCATTTTCATCATTATCGGTTGTTTTTTCAATACATTAGCTATAATAGTATTTATCAAATCATTCAAGAATCCATTGTTTCGACGTCATGGAAGATGGCTTGGACTGTTCACTTTGTTCTTTTTTAGTTTAGCGTCATTGTTTATACCGATTGGATTTTCTGTCGAGCAAATCAAAGGTGAACTATTCCAATTACCGAGTTCATTTTATGTAAGTATGATTGCATGTGTTTTTCTAGAAAAACCCTAATGTTGATTTTTACTAATCTCTTTTTCTGCACAACTTAGGCCGGACAAGCATATATATTGTTCAACATGTCCATTTGGATAACGTATGCTAATAAAATTTTAATTCTATGCTTGCAATAAAACTAAAACATTATTTAATTCTGTTTAGAGCCATATCTGAAGTTTTCGCTGCACGGCTATGTTTTTTTAACTTTTGACCTTCTCGTTATCAACCACGCGAATAATGTGTTGCGTTACCTGAGTGCATGATAAGCTCGATCGATAAAAATTAATCATTTGATTATCAATGTGATTACAGGTAGCCCTAGCTGTGTGTGTGTGTGTGTGTATGTGGAAAAACACAGTGGTCCTAGCGAGATTCTCGAGTATAAATTTTGGTCCAGAAACCGTTTTGAAATCATTCGAATCATAGCATTCTATTTGACAACAACAGTCAATTTAAAACTTCAAGAGAACAATTTTGGTTATTAAACCTATTACCAATTATTCTCTTCAAAACAATCATGTCCCGAATTCAATCCATTTCATTCCTTTTGGTTTGCTCGATTATCGGTAATGTTGTGACGGCACCGATTACCGATCCGAACAATAATAAACAAGCTATACTCAACTATGGCCGAATTTTGAACAGAGATATTAGCCGAAAATTGGTGAACAATATCTATACATTCAATGGTCAAGTTCGCCAATATGCTGGTAATATTCGTAGCGATTCCGGTAAGTAATTGGATAATACGTTTTTGAATATAGCTAATTTAAATTTTCCATCTCTTAGCTTTATACGAATTGGTTGTACCGATGCAATTTACTTCAAACCTCGGTAATATGGTTGCTCCATATGTCGTCCGTCGTTTTATTTCAAAACCATTTGAAGTTGCTGTAGAAAATGTTGCTAAATGGGTGGATCATATCAGTTCATCATCAAAATTGGTTTCCGACTACATTGCCACTGCAATGGGTAATGTTCCAAAAAATCGACGGCCATAAAGAATCTATGAATTTGTCAGAAATTGCTGAATTTTGTATTTTTTTTCATTTGAATTATAAGTACGATTTTTAATCATATCTAATTTTTTCTATTTGTATGTATGTAAATTAAATTTCATATATTCAACTTTAACCCTCTCATTTCAATTTTCATTAATATTGTGGTATACGTGATAACCATCATCATTATCCTATTTTGTGTACACTGCTAAAGCAATGATAAAAATGCCTTGCGAGAATTTTCAAATCCTCGTGGCCAAAACTTGTATGTTTACGCATGTCATGTGACATAGTTACACGATCGTTATCGATAACAACAACAAAAAAACGCGTTCTTGATTACGAACAAATGTGATACGTGATCATTATGTACATCCAAGATCAATAAATTTGTTCTTATTATTATTGATTGTTTTGTTGTTGTTGACATTGTCTATGATGATAACAACTAACGGTAAAATAACAACCGAAAATATTATAGATAATTTTTGTTACAAATTAAAGATTTGAAATAGTTGATTATTATCCTTTTCCTTGTACATATCAGGGGTGAAAAATCTAGTCTCGATATAATGTTTCGAATTATTTTTCGGCATCATAAAAAACAAGATAACAACGTTATTTTTAATTTGTCGCAAGAATCTATTCGAAAGCGAAAAACATTAAAATTGAATTTTTTCCTTTATTTTCCTATATATGATGATGATGATTATAATAATGTCCTTGATGTTTATTGTATTGGATTTAGACAGCAGAAAAAAATAAAAATAAACATACAACCAATATGATTCCAATGGCCGAAAATTCAATATGTGTGTGTGTGTGTGTGTGAATGTTTATAAACACTTGAAAACATCCTTATTTACGTTTTACGTATCACGTAGTCCATTTTGTTTCCAATATATCGTGGACTATCAAGTGTTGTGCGCAAGTTTTTGTTTTGTTTTGGCATGTATAATATGAATCCATAAAGGAATGAATGTGGATTGTTGACAAGTTTCGTCAGAGAGAGAGAGAGAGAGAGCGAGAGAAAAAAACTATATAAAGCTAAGACCAGCATTTGCATTGAAAATAGTTAGCTTACACTACCGCTTGACTATGCGCAGTTTCTCATTATTTGGACTTTAGAATTTTAGGCGGCAAAATGAATGCATTGTTTTTGCCATAGATTTAGCATGAAAAATGAATAAAAAATCAACTTATATGATAGATATTATCATATCAGCTACATAATTGGTGAAAAAAATTATAATGTAATTTCAATGGAACGTAAAAATTGACCTTTATCACATGTTGATGATTAGTGATTTGAGCCAAAGAATTTTCACCACTGTTTGATAAATTGGTGTCAATTTGTCAGGATTGATTGATTGATGGACTGTTATTTCATTCAAAGTCGAGCTATTTATTTATTTATTCAATAAAAACCCCTATACCTCAAAGATGGTGGAAGAAAATAAATTATAAATTTTTAAAATCATATTTAAAGAATTATAGCCAAATACATAAATTCTCTTCATGTAGATTTACACCACATTGATTTTCAATTAAAGTTCGTTCAGCAACAAATAAACAAATCAAATGAATAGAACTTTGAACACAAATTACCACAAAAACAAGACGACTTATAACGATAGCCAATTTTATGCAGGTAAACATTGAATTTTCCATGTCCCGATAAAAACTGAGTGAACACAAAATGTAGATCAATAAGAATTATTTTACGATCATATACAGATGGAAGAATTTTTAGTAACTTTGCCATCTTCACTCATTATCCATCTTATTCCTATATTTTTCCAATAGATATTAAGCCAAAGAAATTGGACGAAGATTGTGAGAAATATAAGAAAAATCTTTACATATTGGTCAGCCAATTCATTGCCAATAATACAAGAATGAAATGGCACCCAGTAAAACAAATATATATCAAAACTTGAGCTTGCTGGATTATTAAAATAGACGAGATCGTGCCTTATTATTATTTAAAATTCGCTTTTATAATAATTTTAGTCGAAAATTAAATCGTCATATGTGATGTGTGTGTGTGTGTGAATGTTTATAAACACTTGAAAACATCCTTATTTACGTTTTACGTATCACGTAGTCCATTTTGTTTCCAATATATCGTGGACTATCAAGTGTTGTGCGCAAGTTTTTGTTTTGTTTTGGCATGTATAATATGAATCCATAAAGGAATGAATGTGGATTGTTGACAAGTTTCGTCCGAGAGAGAGAGAGAGAGAGAGAGAGAGAGAAGAAAAACTATATAAAGCTAAGACCCGTCGAAAATTAAATCGTCATATCGTTTGAAATGCAATTTTCAAGCTGGTTAAACAAAACTCAACAACAGCTCGATTTTACCGAAATTTTTTTCCATTTTGCCTGATTTGATTTTGATTATACATTATTTTACTGAATTTTGAAATCATGGGTCATATTGTAATTCCACGTAATGTTATCGCTCGATGTTCACGATCTAATCTCTGGGTTCAATTGAAAAAGAATCCCAAATACTGGGTAATGGTTACGGCTTCGTTAATCGCTGCACCATCATGTGCCATTTCAACCGGAATTCAAAAACTTTACAGCTATCCATTTATATTTGAACGTGACTATCAACGTTTGTTGAAAGATGATGCTAAATATGAAAAATACTTGGGAACTTGGTAATTGTTAATCATTCCTTGTGGCTGCTCAAGATCTCCCTGTGCTCAATATCGTCTCACATTGGCTTCGAATTATTAAGATGTGTGGACGTTTGATTCGTATTCTGGATTTGAATTTGAATTTTTTTTCTTTTTGATTTAAATGATTGAAATGATTTGATGCGATTTACATTTTTCACTTATACTTATACTTATTTTCATAATACTCATATACCGAACAAAATAAACTAATAAAGTTGAATTTATAAATACAATCAATTGATGTTAATTTTTTAAATGAATTTAGACAGAAAAAACTTGTCAAACTAAACTAAATTATTTATATTATATGGCGCCATTTAAAATAAAAGTGTAATGTATGAAATTGGCAAGTCTAAACAACACCCAGTAGTGCCATCTTGTATCGAATCTCTATGAGAATCCGAAACACGTGGTGAGGATTCTATTGGATATGTTGTGCATGTATTTGGTTATTTATTTTTATGTGTGTTCAAAGTATTTTTATTTGATCCAATAATTATCATGGGTCGTAAGGCTAAATTCGATACCAAACAACCGAAAGGACCGGGACGTAAAGCTCGAAAACAAGGAGAAGTCGATGTTAAATTGTTTCTATCTAATATTGAGAAAAAGAACAAAAATCCCAGCAAGAAAATCACACCGATTTCAAAAAGGTAAGCAAAAATTAATTTCAAATGTTATCCATTCAATTTTACATTTTATTTTGATTGATTAGAAAAAATGTGGATAATGTCGATAGTAGCAGTAAAAAAAGAGTCAAATTTGCTTCAAATCTTGTCGAGCAAAGGATATTTCCATCCGATCCAAAAGAAAGGAAAAACACTGGCTATTATGGTAATCTAGTGAAAGCTATGAAAGGAGAACAGCTTGATTTCGATGACGACGTTGACGATGATGATGATGATGATAATGATGATGAAAACGAAGAAATTAATGAAGAACTTGGTAACCTTTTCGATGACAATGATGTTGATGATGATGATGAGCAAGATGAACTTGAATTTTCCGACGAGGAAATAGATGAGCAGCCAAAAAATTTGAAAAATAATGATCAAAATGGCGATGATAATGACGAAAATGAAAATCAGGACGATATGAAAGTATCCGATTCAATTGAAATCTCAATTGATGAAACCTTACCGCCCGACATTTCGTTACTTAAACAACGAATATCTGATGTCCTTTTCATTTTGAGTGATTTTAAAAATCGACGTCAAGAAGAAAAAACCAGGGATGATTATATCCGTGTTTTGAAGCAAGATCTTTGTTCTTATTATAATTACAACAAATTTTTAATGACCAAATTTATGAATCTATTTTCCCTGGATGAGCTTAAAGAATTTCTCGAAGCCAGTGAAGTTCAAAGGCCTATGGTTATTCGTGTGAATACGTTGAAAACACGAAGACGAGATCTTGCACAAGCTTTAATCAATCGTGGTGTCAATTTGGATCCAGTTGGAAATTGGTCAAAAGTTGGTTTAGTGATCTATGATTCACAGGTGCCTATCGGCGCTACTCCTGAATATTTAGCCGGTCACTATATGCTTCAAGGAGCGGCATCTCTAGTTCCTGTCATGGCATTAGCGCCGATGGAAAATGAAAAAATTTTAGACATGTGTGCTGCTCCAGGTGGAAAAACCACTCATCTGGCCACCATGATGAGAAATACTGGTATAATTTTTGCCAATGATTTTCAAAAAGAACGTTGTAAAGCATTGACTGCCAATTTACATCGTCTCGGTATTGTCAACACGATCGTAAGCAATTATGATGGACGTAAATATCCGAAAATTATGAAAGGTTTTGATCGAGTATTGTTGGATGCACCATGTTCAGGCACAGGAGTAATTTGTAAAGATCCCGCTGTCAAATCTACCAAGGTAAGTTATTATTTAAAATTTTCTATATATAGATTATTAATGAAATTTAATCAAACAAATTATATTATTCCTTTTAATAGACAAATGCTGATATTCTCAAATGTTCATACTTTCAAAAACAATTGATTTTATCCGCAATAGATTGCCTGGATGCTAATTCCAATACCGGAGGTATATTGGTCTATTCTACTTGTTCAGTATTGATCGAAGAAAATGAATGGGTCATTGAATATGCTCTTAAAAAACGTAATGTTAAATTATTACCTATCAACATTGATTTTGGTCGTGAAGGATTCACAAGGTGAGTTTCAAACATTAAACGATAGATGGTGCATCTATGACTATATAATTTTGATTTTGATTTTTTCATTATTCACAAAAAAGTTATCGAGAATTACGATTCCATCCAACAATGAAATACACTCGTCGATTATTTCCACATGTCAACAATACTGATGGTTTTTTCGTGGCTAAATTACAGAAATTTTCCAACATTATTCCTTCCGAAATGAACGGTAAGTTTATCGTGTCTTTTTTGTTCATCTATCCTAGATATTTTGCACTAAAGTTGAATCGAAATTTTAATGTTGAAAAAAACAATTTGTTTTTCGGTATTTTTCTATAATCAACAACAAAAAATTGTATCAATATATATAGAGAGAAAAAAATCAAATCAAACGCTATGATTCTATTTCATGATTATCAGATTAGGTCCATTTGTTTGTGTATGTACACATATACAGTCAATTGAATCAAATGTCTTTGACTGACCTGGTGAGCGTTGCATTTTCATTATTTTCTGTTTGTTTGTTTGTTTGTTTCATTACTGATCTGCATGATGGTAATCAATCTTATGGTACAAACATTTTTACTTGATCAAGTTTGGTGTCTAATATATATACAGATGAATTTTCATTTCACCTGAACGAAACGAAAACGTGTTTTGTTTAGTTAATATTGATGATGATTCGAATCTCCCTTTTCTTCTTATTTCACATGTATATTATCAAGCATCTTTTCTTTTTCTTATTTATTTTGTTTATGTGGATATTTGACCATATCAATCAGAGTCCTTTCATTATACATAGACTCTCATCATTCATTCATTTATTTGTTCCCTTTTATGTTAGATTCTCCCTTATTCTTGTTCATGTTCATTCATTCGAAATGTATGACCAGTTTGGTTTGGTTTTTTTATTTCGTTTATTGGCTAGTCTTTTCTTAATTATTATTATTTTATTTTGTAAATGTCGCTAATCATTTAAATTCGATCCTTTATGTTTATACATAAGTTATTTGAATTATTTGAAACTTTTCTTCGGCTCATTATATTGCTTTTTCAGTTTGATTGATTTATTATACATTGAATTTATTATTGATACAAATGGCTAAAATTACCGAGACACACATGCAATTCGATTGCAATGATCATTTCGAATCTTTTTCTCTAAAAAAATAACAAAACTGATTTTGATTAAATTCTTTTTTTATGATGTTGATTTGATGACTGTCAACTGTCCACTGTGTAAATGATCTTTATCATTGATTGTGTTTGTCCAAGAATTTTTTTCTTCTTCACTCAAAATGATTATGCTAATTTTTTGTTTTGACTCACTGAGAAAAGAATTTATCCAATATGCAGTATAGAAAAAATAAATTCTTATCCTTCTTGTTTTTTGAATTATTTTTGATTAATTGAATCATCTTTTTCGTTTGACACTGCTGTCCATTTTTTTTGTTGATTTAATTTTTTTTTTGTTTATATTACGTATGTACCTGATGAATCTGATGATCTCGCGTTTGCATGTGTGTATATTCATTATATATATCGTTTAATTAGCTAATTTATAACCATCCAAATGAATAGACCCAAAATGACCGACCAAGAAGATGGTTTAGAGTTTGATCGATGTCCATGCCAGGATTCACAATACACACAGATGGTTGAATATTTTTTTCTGTTTTTTTTTCTTTGGTAAAATCACACGCAAAATTAATTAACCACATTAACCACCAGGACGAATTTTTTCTTTTCTTATATATTCGTTTGAAATACATACAAAAAAGAACGTTGAGCGACATTTTGATGATTTATATTGTTGAAACATTATATCTTTAAATCTATATAGCTCTCATCATAATGTTGATGATGATAATTATAATCAGAATAAGATGGACATTATGCAACATTTGAAAAACATGAGATAAATTTTTTCCTTGTACACCTGGATGAATATGAAATGACTGATGATGATGAGGATGCTGATTCGCCTATTAAAAATTATTGAACGTGAATAAGTAATACGAATTTTTATTTTCATTAAATGAATCTCTATACACAGCTTCAATCGTCATCGTCGAAAGTTTTTCGGTTGTAATTCCAACCACTCTCTGTCTTTAATATGTGTGTGTGTGTGTGTGTGTGTGTGTGTGTGTGTGTGTGTGCAAAATCCATATTTGATTGTCGTGATTAATCATTTTCTTCAATTTTTTTGGCAGTGAATTGAAATAACGGTTTTTTTCTATTGCATTGTTTTTGTCTTTCTTCACGAATCACGTATTTTCCTTTGTTTTTGTTTTGTTCTGTGATTCAATGTTCAAATTTTCATCATCATTTTTAGGGCCTTAAATTGGCAAAATCCATATGTTGGATTGTCGTCCATGGATTTCATTCACCGTGATTTTCTTCAAGTGAAAGTTGTGTCATTTTAAATTTGAAATTAGTATTATCATACAGTTGGAAATGGATTAGATTTGATCGAACATCCGAAAGATAAAAAACTGGTTTCACTGGTGGTGTTCATCGTAGTTCAACACCGTTCAATTCAATAATCAACGATTTTGGTAATATGCTATCGATTTTCAGTTTGCATTTTGGAATTCGTATAAAATCATGATAGAAAATTTGTTGATAAACAATACATCTATTTCAGAAGATCTAAAGAAATCGATGCTATTAAAAACAATGAAAAATGATCCAGAGAAAATTCAACGATTATTTTTGGTCATCAAATTTGATGATCCCCAACGGGCGATATTGGAAATTAAGAAAGATCTAGAATCAATCCCGAGGATCGAATCGGAAAACGATGTTCATAATTTGAAGAAGACCAAGGAAATAGTAGAAGGCGCAAATCTGGCCGTTAAGAATTTGAATACGGACGCCATGTTTTATACAATTAATTTGATTCAGGCAGTGGCGGCCAAGTTTTATTACAAGTCGCAGCGTCATATGCTAGCGAAGATCAGAAATTTCGAGCAATTGGTCGACTACATCGATAAGTTATATGATGATGCTCTTCATTATGACTACAACAAGATTCGTAAAGATAATGTGGCAAAGAAGCCAGAGCCTCCCAAAAGATCAAATAGTACAGCGGCCATTTCGATGTATCATTGCCTAATCTGTGAGAAATTTCACCGCAACAATTTTGAATGTTTAAAAGATTATGATGTCAAAACAGCTGCCGATCTTATCAAAACAAAGAGATTGTGCTTGAAATGTTTGAAAAAGGGGCATGTGAGCAAGAATTGTCATATGTCTTCAAAGCTCAAATGTGATAAATGTCCGCGTCAACATGCTACAGAAATGCATGACGTGATCATCGAAATGTTCCAAACGGAACCCAAAGTGATCGCCGAATCTAGACCAGTTACGGAAGAACCAACGGTTGGTAGCACAGCGGCAATATCGTTTGTTGATCATTTCAAAAATGTTTTTGATATCGAAAAAATGTCTAAGTCAGAAAATCGACCGTTATTATATGGATCATGTAATGGATTTCAAAGTCGTATGCTGTTGGATAACGGTTCCGATATTTCATTAATCGATGAAGATTTGGTAATAGACAATCCTAACGATGTCAATAAGAAATGTACTGTCTATTCTTCGTCACCGCTAGGGGAACCGAAACAAGCCGACGAAAGATATCGCTAGAAATACGTCGAGCTGCCAAGAAAATATCGATCGACTTGTTTCCAATAAAAATGTATGATAAAAATTTAGTAATTATTGGAACTGACAACTTATCGTATTTTTATGATCAACAACCCGATTTCTTGGAAATACCAACGATTTTTGGAACGATTCGTTATAAAGCGCGAAGAGATTTCGCGAATGTATGTAATGTTAATATGTGCATCGAACCAACCATCGATTTGTCAAAGAATGAAAATAGTATCGATGAACCAATTGTTGAATCACCGGATGAGGAATTAGTTTTGGAATCGGAACATGAATTATTGGATCTCGAAGTCAAAAATGAATTGAATATGGACGAAGTTGAAGTCGACGACGATATCAAAATCGAACGAAAAGATAATGGTCGATACGAAGCGCGTTTACCGTTTCTTTCCGATCTTCGTCCTAAAGAAAATTTTGATAAAGCCCTGATAGTATTGGATCGATTGATCAAACGACTGGTTAACAAGGGCATGAAAGATGAATATGAAAAGCAGTTATTGGCTTACGTGAATAATGACCAAGCGGTTGAAGTGACCGATGTTCATGGTTATTTCTTACCGCATCATCCGGTATTCCGTGAATCGGCCTCCACACCGTTACGTGTTGTATTCAATGGATCATTTGGCCTCGACGCTTTGAATCAGTCGTTGTGGAAAGGAAACGCGCACGGTCTGGACGTTTTTGATCATTTAATAAAATTCCGTAAAGGGAAGTACGCCGTTACCGCCGATCTTTCCAAAGCGTTTCTACAAGTATTGATACACCCAGACGATCAACGATATTTGAAATTCATGTGGAGAAATTCGAACAACGAATTGAAAATTTATCAAATGAAAGTTTTGCCGTTCGGATTGATTTCATCTCCCGCCATATTGACAAATGTCACAAAGAAATTATTGAGTGATCATGATTTGGAATCAATTGCCAAATCAATATACATGGACGACATAATATGGGCAACTGATTCAGAAGCAGAATTGGTGACTACTGTTCAATTAGTCAAAGATTGTTTTCAAAGTTCAGGCTTTGCCATGCACAAAGTTCATACAAACAATGCCGAATTATCATCGAGATTCGAATCAGATTATAGCATCGAATCCAAAGTTCTTGGCACCGTATGGAATGTCGAAACAGACGAAATTAAGAGCGCCATTCCAAGTTTGAATCCTGTTCGTACGAAAAGAGATTTATTATCAGTCATTGGGAAGTTTTTTGATCCTTATGGATATCTTGACCCATGGAAATTGCGACTTCGATTGATCTATCGTACGGTTATCAAAAGTGAATGGGATGATTTGCTTTCCGATGAAATCATAAGTCAAATTGATGATCATGTGAAGGATGTCAATCAGCTATCTAATCTGAAATTGCAACGTTATTTACCATCAGATGGCGAAATTCATGGATTTTCCGATGCCTCAGCTAATGCTTATGGATACGTGATATACGTGAAAAAAGATCATCAGTTGCATTATTTGTTCGGCAAATCAAAGTTGACACCGTGCAAAGTAAAAACGATAGTCGAACTTGAATTACTCGCACTCTATGAACTGAGCAAAATTTTGTATCGTATACATTCAATTTTTCAAAACAAAATCTCGATTTGGTCTGACTCGATGATAAATTTGCATAGATTTAAATTATCTCCAAATAGTCAGAACCGAAACATTGCGACGCAGTTAATGAAGACCATGAAGATTATCAACGACGTTGATATATCAATCAGACATATTGAAGGTCGTAAGAATCCTGCCGACTTGTTTAGTCGAATTGTGAACACTAAGCAATTTTTGAAAAGTATCAAATTCGTCATCGATACAAACGATTTGGATTTCTCGGACAACAATGTGTTCAGTGTCTATCGAATATCATCTATATCCGTTCGTAAGTTTGAATATTCCGATCAAATAGAAGAATTTGAAAAACTAGAATCTATTGATCAAATTATTGGTTTCGTTGAAAAATTATTGCCGAAAGGAAACACAGCCAATGATAGATGGAATTTAATCCACCGATTTGCTCAATATGGACATGATTCGAGTAAGTTAGATTCGCCATTCATTGAAGGTGACATCATTAAATTAAAAACTCGTGATCCGGAATTTTCTCCAATTTGGATACCAAAAGAATCTCGTTTGGCAATTGCTTTAATAAAACAGCATCACGAAATGGCGATGCATGGTGGCATTAAGACTACTATGGCGAGTATACAATCCATCTACTACATTCCTAATTTATATCATATGGTCAAGAAATATATTTATTATTGTAAATTTTGTCAAGTTGAAAAGCGAAAACCAGTCAATCAACCATTCGCTCCATTGCCTTCGACCCGAACAAGCTTTGCCGCCCCTTTCCAGGCTGTATGCATCGACTTCTTTGGTCCACTCCGTTATCGAAACGGAAAAAAGTTTTACGGTTTGTTAGTAACCTGCCTGGTGTCTCGTATGATTAAGATAGAAGTCGTCAATTCCCTGAATGCTAAAGCTGCATTGACGGCTTTGAACAATATTTTTCTGTTGTGTGGAACTCCCTTGAAGATATATAGTGACAATGGCACTAACCTGGTACGATGCGAAAAGGAAATTGGCAAATTTTTTGATTATTTGGAAGAAATCAGCAAAACCGATAATCGGCGAATTGATTGGATATTCTCACCACCTAACGCTCCTTGGTACAATGGTACTGCTGAACGGTTAATTGCCGTTGTAAAACGGTGTTTAAGGACTTTCGATAATGAATTCAAATCAATGGAAGACGCTCGTAGCATCTTTTTGAAAGTCGAGTCAACAATCAATGGTCGTCCATTAATTCAAAATGACGAACGATGGCTATCGCCATTTGAAGTCGCTTACGGACGTAAACAAGATCCCTTGATCAATAATAATGTTGAAATTGGGAACGTCAACAAATGGATTGACTATTTGTCAACGGTTCGATATAAATTTGAAAAGCTTTGGAAGAACCAATATCTGAATACTTTGGCCCAACGTAATCCACCGAGATCTACGGACATCAAACCTGGGGATTTTGTCCTGCTTCCCACCGAGTATCGTAAACGAAAGGATTGGCCTATCGCCAAAGTCATCGAGTCCATTGCCAGCGACGACGGTATCGTACGCTCCGTCAAAATCAAATTAGTCGATGAAGACAAGAATTTTATCCGTCCCATAAACGGTCTCGTATTATTGGAAGCGGCGGGGGAGTGTCGTGAAGTGAACCCTGTTTAGAAGACAAAACTTTCCTGAGCAAGCGCAACTAGTTTTCGCGGTTTTTTGATGTGGCTTGTGTGTGTGTGTGTATTGTATTATCATTGTTTTTGTCTTTCAATGTTGATACCACCTTTGAATAAACAATACGTATTTTCAAAAAGAATTTTTTGCTTTGTTTTTTGTTTTGTTCTATTAAGTTGAATTTACTACATCATACAGTTGGAAATGGATTAGTGAAACATCCGAAATAAAAACTGGTTTCACTCCTTTTAAGGCTATCTTTCATTCTAGCCTGTATAAACCGAAAAAATTCGATTTCATCATCGACTGTTTGTTTATTGGTTTCAACAATGCTTATTTCCAAGTACCAATGATCCTTTTCCTTTTTCATAGACATGGCTATAATTGCAAAATAATTTCTTTTGAATATTTGTGGATGATGGAAATGAAAATCTATTTTGATCTCCCCTTTTCTTTGATTGTGGCAATGATTGATTAATGTAATTCAAAAAGGTGGTGCCTATTACGATTTGATGAATGTATGTATGTGTAACTCTGAAATCATCATGAAATTAAAGTTTGATTCTTTCATTACTTTTGTTTCGTTATGATATTTTTGATTGTATATTTTTTTTCTATGAACATTCTACTATATTTGTTATATTTCATATGTCAGTTGTCATCACCATGATTATTATGATGATGATTTTCATAAATGGTATGTTATAGAATTTAAAATGGCAACTTTGAACTTGATATGGATGAATGGATTCTATAAACTTTTCTATCTTTCTTAATTTGTTAATTATATTTGTTTTTTTTTTGTTTTCTATTACATTCATTATGATGATGGTTTTTTTTGTTTTTTATTTTTGATGTTTAGGTGAAAAACAGCAGCAGACCAACAATTATACATCATTATCCAAGGATGATGAAAAGTTTTCAAATAATAATAACAATAATCATAATGATGATGATGATGATGATGATGATGATGGTGAAGAAGATGATAATAATAATGAGATGAATATAGCCATTGTTAACGAGCATCATCAAAATCAACCAAAACAAAATTCGAATTCACTGTTGAATAAGACAAAGATGAAAAAGAAAAAGAATAAAAAGAAACGAAATAATAATGTGGCCAACCCAAATGATTATGATATGAATCAAAATGATGACAATGACAAATTAGTAAAACAGGATAACGACGATCATCCAAGGAAAATTGCAACAACAATTAAAAATGGCGATGTTCATGTTGCTATCAATGGTGGTGATGGTGGCCAAAGAAAAAGAAAACAGAAAAAATTCAAAAAAAATAAGATGATAAAACAGAAAGGGTTTAAAGGGAAAAAATCAATGAAAAAAATTAATAACCATAGGAAAAAATGATGAAACCAATTTGAAATTCAATTTTGTCTGATTTTTTTTGTGAAAATAAATTTTATTTTTTTTCTGAAAAACGTTGATTATTGTTTTTACTATTTGAATTGATTCGTCATTTTTTTTTCGTTGAACTTAACCAATATTATTCATTTATTTTGATTTGGGAATATCAAAACTGAATGTTTTTTGGAACTGGCTCATTCCTGGGAATAATTTATTTTTTCCGTTAACCAAAATATAATGCAGAAAATCAATCGAATTTCTTCAAGAATCGCAAAGGGATCATCAGCAGTGGAGTCGTCATTTTTTTGAAATAATTGAAGGAAACAATTTTTTTGGTTGAGATTCTGATTTGAACCTCTTTGTTTCTCGAACTTTGGTTTGTAAATTAGAATCTTCTTAAAGTTTCAATTTAGACGACCGATGTCAGAAAAAAAGGGAGATGAAAATAAAAAGAGAATGAAAATCGAATAAATGAATGGAATCGGAAGAGAGAGAGAGAGAGAGAGAGTTGCTGTGTGTGAATTCGCACAGACAGTAGCAAATCTTCAGGGAAATCAATGAACGGTTTTGTGTTGGTGATGTTGTGTAGAACAAAGCGAATTTGCGAATAAATTTTTTAAAAGCTGCTTTAACCAACCAAGAAAATAGAGAATTGTATTAGAATCTTCTGTGGGCCAGATTTGCAATTTATATTTTTTTCTAAATTCTACTTGGTTTGTACACACACACACACATTTTGGGTGACTATGATAAAGTTCTAGAATTTATTTTTTTTTACCAAAAAAAAACAATGAAGAAAATGATTGCAATTGTTCGAATACTAAAAATACATTTACAAACAAATACATCCGTGTCATGCGGTATTGATAACGGTGGACGATGATAGTGCTGATGACGATGCACGTTGAACAAGAATTTCTAAATTGGTTTTTTGCCACACCATAAACGATAGGTACAATGTTGCCAAATAGATTGTATATGTGATCACATGGAATGATAGATAAAAACTATTGATTGCTGTTATGAATCTTGCACTTGTACGATAACCTTTGATAAATGCTAGCTGACTATGGAATTGTGCCCAATGTGAAACGAAAAACATGGTGAAAAAGAATAATGCAAAACGTGAATACAATATACCAGTATCGGATTTATGGAAAAATTTTCCAAATGATCCAGATTTTTTTTGCATATTCAATTTCCTATAGATTACGTTACAAGCTTTACAACGATCATTTCCGCTTATTTCGATCCATCGTTTTATACAATCAAAATGAACATAACCACCGGTACCTTTACAATCACATGGTGATAGTAGATTTTTGATCGATTCCTCTTGTCGACAAATGTTACAAATTGGCCTTTCCTTATTATTACTACCACCACTAACGCCTACACTATAATTATTTGATATCGTTTTACATTCATCGTTTGCCATGTGTTGTTGTTGTTGCTGCTGCTGCACGATTCTACAATTTATAATTTTGCTATGCTGTTCTGGTTAAAATGTTTATTTTGTGGTCGTTTCAGGATCATTGTTGTGTATTGTTTGTATTTGTTGTTGTTGTTATTGTTGTGTAGCATAATTTTCTTTAATAATAATTTCATTTGATTTCATGTTTCAACAAATAAGTTTGGGCGTAATGAAAAACCTCAAAATGAAGCTAATCGTTACTTTTTTTTGCCTATTGATTCATGAATCAAGGATTGATATAATCATCATCGTGCATGATCATGATTTCAACCTACTACACCATCATTTAGTAACCATTTTATCACAATGAATGATCATATCAGGCAATTATTATTATATTCAGCTAAATATTACCATCAATTTGGAAATTTTTTCCATTTATTTCCAATTTGTTTGTTTGCTTGGTTCAGGCTAATTTAAAATAATTATTCTTTCATCATCATCATCATTATATATGATTGAAATGACAATGTCATTACATTCTACGTAAGGAAATGATATGATTTTTTTCCAATCATTAGATTCATTGAAAAATTATGTATAATTCTTCAATAATTATTTATCCACACCCCCCGTAATAATAATAACCAAAATCCTCAGTATACTCATAATTGCTCATGTAATTTTTTTTTGTTTCGGTTAAACTTTCACATCTGATCTAGTGTTGGAAAAAAAACAAATTTCAAACAATCAAAGAAACCATTCATATTGATGGTGGTGATGATGATGATGATGATGATTACTTATAATGATTGTATTTGGGTTCGATTTTAGATTGCTTTACTAATAATTTTATTGGTTCTGCTTCAAAGTACGTAATGATAATAATAACGAATGAGAAAAAACTTTTAAACAAAACAGAGATCTCTCTAATATGTTCACATGACCATTTGTGATTGTAAATTCGAACTAATTTATGTTCATTTTTGGCAGCCATTTTTGTCGACATTTACGATCCCTTTTTTAAATTTATGTTTGGACAAAATTCTCAATAAAATTTTTTTAGTGTATGAGACCATCATCATCATCATCATCATCATATGAGAATCGCCTCGAGTCCATGATACATCTTTATCTTGGCGTTTAAAAAAAATCAAATGATCACAATCTTTTAATATCATGATGATCATGAATGTCATTTGGATTTTTATGATTGTAATTTATTGAAAATATAAAACAAAACATTACTTGTTGACGGATGATGATGATGATGATGATCAATTCAAGGTGAACAATGATAATGAAACAATAATCAAAATAGAGAATCAGTTTAAAAATATTTTCGCATCTTGTAAAATATTAAATGTATAAATCAATCAATGAAACAACAAAATATGAAACCATAACCATTATTATTTCAACAACAGATATAATAATAATAATTATATATATTGTTCACATGATATTTGCATAATTTTTATGACAATCTACAACCCACACCGGATAACTATATTTGATTATCAAAAGAGAAAAAAAAATAAATTTCACATACACATTATTGTAACAAAGTAGTTTCGCCCTTCATTTATTTATGATTACCAAATTTTAACAATCAAAATTTGAATCCTATTCACATAGAAAATGAAACATAACCAACTAACAAGCCATATAAAACACAGCCCTATTGTCATGATAATCATCGTTGAATTACCCATGAACAGGTGTGCGTGTGTGTGTGTGTGTGTGTGTGTAAATTTGTCTTATAGGTTTGTAGTGTGTGTGTGTGTTCAATGAGCATCATCTTCAATGCTAATCATCATCATCAAATTGGCTATACTGCCGTCATAATATTATGTTGAAAATTGTGATATTGCAAAAGGAAATTAAATAAAATGAAATCCTATGGTGGTGGTGGTCGTAAACACATCAAATTAAATTTGGTTGATGATTGCTTTCAACCAAGCTATATACAAGACAGGTATTTAAATTCATTTTTAAATGTAAAAAGTTCTTGAATGTATTTATTCATTCCATTCAAATGATGATGATGGTTCCAAGATAGGCGGTAAGATTTTATCAAAATTTTATATCAAAAAAAAAAATTTTTTTTTTTCTACAATCAGTTTATCTTTGAAACGTTGTCATTCATTTGTTGATATCATCACCATGTTCAAATGGTCAGATGTAATGTGTTGGTGGTTTTTCGAGACCAATTCTCTCATTGATAATGACATTGTGTGTATCTTGATGATGTCGGTAGCGACGTTTTTTCAAGCTCCTCCTTCCATCATTTTATATTATCACATCCATACGAACACAGAAACATCGATGTGTTATGTTAATTTTCTATTGAAAATATATATGATATGAATGAATGATTCCACCACAAAAGTTTATAGCTCTGAAAGACTGATGATGATGTTGATGAGAAAAGAAAATTAAAGAAGCCAAAGGATTAAGTATTCAGGAATTTTTATTGATCATTCGTTAGGAATTTTCAAATTCCTGAATTTTTGCATTTTATTTTAATGTTTGGTGATTTAGTTCATTGCAAAGAAAAAAAAACTTAATGATCTAGAAATTAATTAATTCGTAGTCTGAACTTTGAATTTTTTCATCATCATCAACCGTTTTACAAAAGAATTTTTTTTTTTTTTGATCGTTTTGTAGTTTAATTATAGATTCAATCGTTCATTTCGTTTCAAGATGAGGGTTCATTGAGTTTTTTTTCTGTGCATATAATGTGAATACTTTTTCACCATCACTTTTTTTTCTTTTTGGTTCCATCGTCATGGTTCAATCGCAATTTGTTTTATAGCTCATTAAACCATTTTTGATCTCAATTTTATTTAAATTATTATTAGTATTATAGAATCTAGAAATTTTTTGATCGAACGAATTCTGTACATGCCTTCAAATGTGTGTGTGTGTGTGTGTGTACGGGTTCGAACTGAGATTGTTAAATGAATGAATATAAATGACGATGAAGTAAATGGTGATCCGGTGAAAGTTAATGGGTCATATTATTATCGTCTATAATGCTCATAATTTATTTTTCATGACAATATTGATATATCTCGGTAACAGTTTGTGCAAACTATTTACGGATGTTCATAATGCTATCTTGAATTTTTTTTTCATCATCATCACCATTATTATATTATATCATATTGCTTGAATGTAACAAAAACAAAACAAAAAAAACAGAATATTAACAGAACAAATAATGCCACTATAGATAGATATATGATGATGATGTACGACAAAAAAAAACCGGACATTTCGATTTTTTTTAAATATCGAATATCTTTCTATATCCATGTGTATTTACGGTACCATTCGATGATGACCATTGAATGCTAACACTGTTAAACATGATAATAGTTAGTAATAATACACAGGATTAGTGATCATCATTAATTAAATAAATATACATTCAAGTCTTTTTTTTCCTCTTATTATCCACAATATTATAGTAATATTTTTACTGTGTGTAAAAGAATTTCAAAATGGCTTATCAAAAGAATAACGGTTATTGGTGTATACAATGATTGTCGGAAATGGACCGACTAATCCACAATGAATGATCAATTCAGTTATATTGGATGTTCATTGTCTAAGTTTATTTCACTGTTATTGTTCATAATGATACACCGACATACACACACACACATCATTTTCTATTAAAGTTTAATTTAAACTTTAGTAAACCAGATGAGACCAGATTCTGTTTTCGAATCTTCATGTATGTAATGTCATTGTTTGTGGATGAAGGCAATGCTTTGTTCTCCTGCATGCAGGAACAACAATCCCAAATGGATGTTGATTGTGAATGGTTCATCTTCAGAAAATGGTTGTCGTTTTTTTTTGCAGAAAAAAAAAGATTTTTCTTTTCTTTAAAATTTTTATTAGCACTTTTTACTTGTTTTTGTTGTTGTTGTTATTGTTGTTGTTGATGCTGCTGTTATTATGGTTATTTCGGCAATTCAATCGAGAAAAATATTTGTTTGTTCAAATGATTGACCATCGAATATATCGAAGGAGAAAAGAAGAAGAAAAAAAAAGAATCCAATTAAATTGCTAAAACTACTACTACAATGAAATCAATAGCTGTATATGTGCATGTGTGTGTATTTGAGAAAAAAAAATGGCCATTACATTGATGGTCGATGAACATTCATGAATACAAGAATGTATTGTCTCATAATAATAATAATAATGTTTAGATGACAATAAACAGAATAATATAGTGTTATGTTTTCCAATTAAACTTCTATAAGTATGTAATATTGGTTTTGGACTTGGATATATATATATAATTTTAGAAATCCAGAATCTATGTTTATGGCTTCGATTTTCTACTTTTTTCCACTGAAATTGAGTCAAAATCGATTCTTTGATTTTTTCCAAAAAAAAACTCATGTATTCTTTTAAATGATATTAGAAGTTTAATACAACAACTATTACATGATCTTTTTCCATTCGTATAAGATGAGCTTCATTCTGAACAAAGAGAAAAGAGAATTATTTTTGGACCAATTTTTATCGATTGAAAGCAATGTTCATTTTAACTCAATGATTACACGATCATAGATGTATTAGAAAAAAAAGACAATTAAATAAATTTTGATTGATCTGATGAATGAATTTAAGTTTCAAATTGTTTTGATTAGAAAAATTAAGCGCTAAAATTTATCTAATAAATATCTATGAATAAATTAACCGAATCATCATTGATCTATTGATGACTGTACATAGTTGATTGGCGTCAATAATCATACTTTTATTAGTTTAGTATTGTGTATGCATAGAATGCTGGACCACACCTGGGTCATCATCGCTGGTTGTTGGCCAACCACAAACCACTATATATGATGATGATGATGAAATCCATAAAAAAAAGATTGATCATAAGAAGAACAAACTGTGAGCGTGATAATTATGCAATTCAAAAAAAACCCAATGGAGTGATATAACTGCCATGTTCAGTTTATTTTTGGCTCGAAATCGAAATTGTCGATTTTTTTCAAATTTATCAGAAATCACAA